GGAGAGAAAGGCAGTGTGAGTCCACATTCTCTCACTCGCCCCAAGCAAGCCACCCGAACTCCCTGAGCCTTTCACTCTTCCTTTAAAAAAACAAAGCAAATGGCATCCGTCCGGGCTGTCCGTATGGTACTCTGGCAGACGGCTCTGGATTGGTTCCCAGCACCCATGTGAGGTTGCCAGCTCCCCAAGGCAACAGGCTCTTTGTGGCAAACTGGAGTCTTCGCTAGCTCTTACCTTCAGAAGTACAATACTAAGACCCGGTGATTTATAAATCTGACTGTTTACAAGACGCCTTGGTGGTAAAACACACATACAACCTGTTAATCCTGATCTATGATTTAAAATGAAATTTTTATTTCCTATTATGCTCCACAAGCAAATCGCTGATCAGTTAAAATAAAACGAAAGAAGTAATAACAAAATAAAACAAATAAATTCACACTAAGTGAACCAAGAAACTCCCCCTGAAATCTTGGGAAGACTATGGAATATTCCAGAAAGAACCTGGGACTGACTGCTCCCAGAAAAGTACCATCCCAGTGCCAAGGCTAATACTAGTTGAATTCATCCCATTTTCCTTCCCAGTCCTCTGGGCTGAGCTCCGGTTGAAACGGAAGTCTGAGCAGAAAACAGAGACCAGGCAAAAAGCACCCTGTTGGATACAGAGCTTGACTCTTAACTTGAACCCACAGGAACACCATGATGGGAAACACTCATCTGGTCATTCAAAGTAACAGATTCTAATCAAAGTCTCCGGACACAGCATTCCAGGGTAACATAATACCACCGCCCGCCCCTAAGCAGGAAGAGACAAGCCACAGGCCTGCGGGGCCAGAAGAAAGGGCTCGTGATCAAAGGGGAACTGGAGCCTAGCTTAGACAAGTGTTAGCACCTCCCTGCCCAGGGCCTTGACCCCCTCATTCTTCAACGCTGAGAAGGTGTCCTCCTCCCTGGAGGTGGGCAGCAGAGGGGAGAGGACCCTTTGTTCTCTTGGGCTAACAAGAAGCAGACAGCGCCTGGGCAGGTTGCATAAATCCTTTTAACTTTTAGAATCTGTGTATTAGTAAGCAGAGGGGAGGGGAAGGCAGGTGGGGGGAGGATCCTGTCTGTCAATTCCAGGAACTGCGGTGGATAGGGGTCCCAGACCCTTTTGTGAGGAGCAGACATCCTCTGTGGATGCTGGCTTTAGCAGCGGTGTGTGTGGTTGGGTCTGTGGATGCTTCCGGGAGAGCATTCTGGAGGCAGGAAAATAAAACGGGGAGGGGGTTGGGGGGGACCAACAGCTCAGTAGGTGAAATGCTTGATGCACAGGTGTGAGGCCCAAGTTTGAATCCTCAGAACTCAGCAAAAGAACCAAGAGCCTTTGAAGGCCCAGAGCCTGCACAGCCAGCGGCATCCCCGCCATCCCTCGCATGGTTCAGTCCGTCCGCTCACAGGTCTTCCCACTCCTCGGTTTCTCTGAAATGCTAACTTCTCAGAATAATTTATAAGCTTTACTCCTCCACTACCACATGAAAAAGGAAATCCGCCACCACTGGGGCAAAATGGGGAACCAAAGGATTGACAGTCAAAAATACGCTGATGGCCCCTAAATAAAAAGCATTAAAAGTCGGTTATATGGAATTTTCGAACGCCAAGACTTCTGGAGAAAAGACAGCTGTGAGTATATGATAACCACCCATCCCCCATGTCCATGTATGGTGACACACGCTAACAGGACTTCCAGGGGCTGGGGAGATAGCTCAGGACTAACGAGATTGCTTCACACGCATGAGAATAAAAGCCAGCACAGAGGTGCGCCTGCACTCACAGCACTGAGGAGGAAGAAACGCAGGCCTGCCAGCCAGCGGGACCAAATCAGAAAGCCCGAGGCCGAGTGAGAGAGAGAAGAAGCTGGAATCGCAACTGAAAAAGACCAGACGTCAGCCTCTGGCCTGCACATGCATGTGCTCCTGCACGCACACACACATGTTCACGCACGCACACATGCACACACATGTTCACGCACGCACACATGCACACACATACACACACCATGATCATACACACACATGCACACACACGTAGAATGCTCACATACATACACACACACACACCATGACTTCCAGAAAGAAAAGCAAGCTATACTTTCTGCTTGCTCTCTTCTAACTTTAAAAGGCCTGATCCCTCCTCAGTATTGGATTATAAAGCTATTTCCAAGGAGAGAGAGGAAAAGGGAGAACGCTGGAGATGAGAGCTTTTTAAAACAGCATCCTGTCTCTGCTATCAAAACATTATTAAATTCCTTCCTTTGACATTCTGACAGTAATTGCACGGAGGGATTGGATTTTGTTAAAAATTACTTTAGAGTGGCTATCGAGAATTTCCTGCGGGGCAGACCCATGTGCACCTCACAGGAGTCACCCAAGCTTCCTTTGTTGTCCTCAGATCCTGAGAAGCCCGGCACTTGTCTTATTTAGCAGAGAACCCCGGGAAAAAACACCAAGTCCCAGGGAACAGTGACGCTTGTGGTCCCCGGGGTCTATTTTCCGCTGTGACCCACTGAGTTCGTAGTCCCGGGGACTCAGTCCTGAGGTTTCTGCCTCTGTCATCTTAGCAGGAGCCAGGCAGTCTTGAACCACCACTCCCCTCTAACAGGCAGGGGGTGGCGACGAGGACACGCAAGCCAAAGGCAGTGTCACACGCTGCAAACTCATGAATGTTCCCTTCCGCACTGACCTAAAGAGTTCTAACAGAGCATGACTGCCTGAGAATGTGTGACTAAGGCTACTGGTATGGAGCGGGTCCTCAGCTCGGCAGGGAGCAAATGACGGGCGTGGAAGGTGACAAGCCAAAGCCAGTCCAGAAAGACTGTAAGCAACAGGGTGTCCTCGAAGTCACGTCCGCTCCCCCTTCCCCCCCCCCCCCGGTCAGACACAGCAGGGCAGAGGGTCCCACGATGCCAATTCACCAGGGAGGACACAGTCCTGTAGAACTGGGAAGCGATGGAGTTTATTAAGCAGATCAGAAAAAAAAATGACTTTCAGAAAGCTAGGGGGTGACATTCAAAGTTGTATGTAACCTCCGCAGAGGTAACACAAGGCCCAGTAACTGCTGGTGTGGGAGAAAAGTTCCCCAGGAGCAGCAGCAGAAGTAGAAATGGCCACACGAAGACTCCATTATTATTCACAGCGGCCCCAAGGTAGACGCAACCTACATGTCCAGGATGGAGAGAATAATAAACCATGGCGTCGCCACACACTGGAATATTACTCAACTGTGAAGAGGAAGAAAGCGCTAATACAATATGGAGGAATCTGGACGCCACTGTGCTGCCAAAGACACCAACGGCAGGAGACCAGGAACTTGATGGTCCCGTTTACGTGGGACATCTAGACCAGGCAAGCCCACAGAGACAGGCCGGAGACGAGTCGTTAGCAAAAGGTGGCGGGATGGAAAAATGGCCCAATGGGAACGGGGGTTCTTGGCGAGGGATAAGAACTACTAAAATTGGATGTGGTGATGGCTGTACAACTCTGAATATACTTAAGACCACTAAACTGTGTATTTTATACTGTGAGTCTTATATCTCAATGTTACATTTCAGCATGCATTTAAATGCACATGTACGCACGTAAAAATATATACATGTGCATTTTATGCCTTGATTTTGCTTTCTAAAATGAGAGTTCAATGGCTTTCAATTTTCTCAGCAACATAGCAATTGCTTAAAATTTCATAAAAATAAAAATATCCACACATTTTATTAGAAAGGCCCACCTCTCTCTCTCTCTCTCTCTCTCTCTCTCTCTCTCCTCGTCACCTATTTTAAACTTGTTTCACACAAGGACTTACAGCAGCAGCAGCAGCAGCCATCCCGCAATAAATACAGTTCTCCATTCACTTTCCCTCCACCTCCCCAATCCCCAAAGAACAAGCTGGTGTGACCAAGCTTGATTTCCTTGACTATTCTCAAGGTGCGTAGCCTTCCAGAGAAGGCCCCTCACTTCAGGGACGAGTTCACAATCTGAATGGTGATTCCACTCAGTAACAAAGCATTTACAGAGCAGCTGCTCTCAGACAGCACACGGAACGAAATCACTGAGCTAAAGGCATCCGCGCCAACTTCTCACCAACTGTTTGTTCTGTAAGGCAAGCCGGGCAAGTGGTCCCTCTCTGTGATCCTTGCGCTTTGTGGTTTTGTTTTGTTCTGAACATTTTACATATGTTTTTTAAAAAAATAACACTTTTGTTCTTTGAAATTTTCATACGCTCATACAACGCCTTTTGGTTTTAATTGTGGGTAGTGTCTCAATGAGGGATCTAGATCAGGTTGGCTTGTGGGCCTGTCTGTGGGGGACTGTCAGGGATCTAGATCAGGTTGGCTTGTGGGCGTGTCTGTGGGGGACTTCTTGATTGGTGGGAGGGCCCCGTCCACTGTGGGCGTCACCATCCCCTGTGCTGTGTGAGTGTGGGGAAGGCGGGCTACCGGCTAGTGTGAAGCACTCATTGCTCTCTGCTCTGCACCGTGAACGTCAATTCAGCTGCTTCAAGCTCCTGCCACTTTTGATGTCTCCACAGTGACAGACGGTAGCATCAAATTTTGACCCTTTTCTCCTTAAGTTGCCTTTGCCAGTAAGGAAGACTAGGATGGCTGCCTTTGGAAATGATAAAAGAGCAGCGGTGAGCCTTGTCCTGCACTTCCTCTGTACCAAATACTGTTGGTGCCCTGGCCCAACACTAGCTCATTGGAGAGATGCATGTCATCACTGCCATTTCACAGATGGAGAGACTGAGTCCAGGGAGGTCAAGTAATGTACGAAGGAACAACCGACCATTAAAGGGCAGAGCCAAGACCCAGGCCCAGGCACCCTGGCTTTAGATTCAACTGTTTGAACCCCTCTGCAACTCACAGAACAAACCCAGGAAACTGGAAGAGGCTGCAACTGTTAGGCCTCGTTAGGAGGTGTCCGCTGAGTGCGGCAGACTCGGGGGTCAGCGCCCGGCCGCCCGGCTCTCACCTGTGGACCACCCCAGCCCGGTGCAGATGCTCCACTGCAGAGATGAGTTGCCGGATGTATCTGCGGGCTTCGGCCTCATCCAGGCGCTTCTTCTCGTAGATCTTGTGCATGAGGTTGCCACCGGGGCACAGCTCCATGACCAGGTAGTAGCTGTTCTCCGTCTCCAAGATGTCCAGGAGCTGCGTGATGTTGGGATGGCGGATCATCTGCTGGATCTGACCCTCTCGCCGCAGGTTTTTGGTGACATAGGTGTCCTTTTTGGCTCTCTTCTTATCGATGACCTTGATGGCGACCTAAGGCAAACCAGAAAGCACGGCTGTTACCAGACAGCTGTAGACAAAGGCCATTCATTCCTCGGAGGGTTTCAAGGACTCTGGGGAAGATGGAGCCCAGGAGAAACCGGGGTCAGACGCGGAGCTGGGGAAGGGAATTAGCTGCAAGGCCCTGAGTCCCATTCCAGCACCACAAACAAAACAACGAGCTAGTTCATCAAGCAGCAGCAAATGAAACAAAGCCAGAACGTCAGAAAAAAAATTCCTTATTAAAGAGGAAGCACGGGACAGCTCAGCAAAGAGTCCACCACGTCAGACCTGTGTCTCCACAGGAGTGTGCCAAGATGAGACACTGATTTCTTCTGGAACTAAGGACTCTGCCATTTGCTCCTAAGACCCACTGCCTTCCTTCAGGTCTGGCGATTCCCACGACCCCACTTCAGAAACAGCTGCACCTAGAACCCCGTCTTCAGATCTAGAGCGCACTTAAGCCCAGATGCAGCTCGCTCAGGCTCAGCTCCGCCCACTCTGTAACCTGCAGAGTCCCCCCAGGCCACACGGTCTCTGACCTCCAGTGGTGACTCCTGTCCTTGGCAGATCACCTTCCAAGTGAACTTTCACCCCACTGTCAAGACCAACCTCGAGTATCAGCCACCCACAGATGCTCCTACTGGGCCATTGGCATCTAATGACCCTTGTCCCAAGCACGTAAGGAGGGAGGACAGGACGGGAAGACTATTCTCCACCCAAACTGTCAGTACCCCAGCATCCTGTTCATTTGAGGGAGTCACCCCCTCCACCTCCACCTCCGCCCTCCCCGCGCCCCCCCCCAGTGTGGCCAGCTGTGAACAGGGCTCCAGCTCATCCTGCCAGCGGCCCATCTCCCCACCTGTCTGTCCTTCCTCTGAGTCCACTGACACGCCGCCTGCCTTGTGCCCAGCACCTGCTACCACTGAAGGACACTCTGCAACAGAGGTTGCCGGATTTGGAAGCTGTGGCATAGTACACTAAGTGCGATCCGACACCGGCACAGCTCCACACGCAAATGAAAGGCAGGTCGGGAAAGTGCTCACCCTGCAAACTGAGGGCCTGAGTTCAATCCCCAGAGCCCACGGGGGGGCGGGGCAGCCAGGCATGGTGGTGCGTGCTAGTAATCCAGTCAATGGGAAGCAAGGAACGGGTGGCTTCCTAGGGCTCACGGCCAGTCAGGCTTGCCCACCTGGGGAGTCCCAGGTAACTAAGAGACCCTGTCTCAAAAAACAAAGGGGACAGCATGTAAAGAATGACAGCCACAGCTGACCGGTGGCATCCATGCAGATGTATACACACACATGGACATCCGTACATACAGGTGCACATTTATGCACACACACACATACATGCGTGTGGCTGTGTGTATGTGGAGTACGTGGACAGACAGACAGATCTATCTTTGGGGGAATGGGAAGATGCTGGAAAGCCACAACTGAGTTCTGCCTCTGCTTCTCTGTGTGAGTGTTTTTAAAATGACGATCTTTGAGCCGGGCAGTGGTGGCGCACGCCTTTAAACCCAGCACTCAGGAGGCAGAGGCAAGAGGATCTCTGTGAGTTCAAGACCAGCCTGGTCTACAGAGAGAGTTCCAGGACAGCCTCCAAAGCCACAGAGAAACTCTGCCTCAGGGAAAAAAAAAAACGATGCTCTTTGGCAATGAAGTCTTGAAAGTACAACGAGTAAACAATAGTCTAGAAGCTAGCAGAAATATGACCTCCTTTTATTTTTTAATAGTTTTTTAAAGATTTATTTATTATGTATACAGTAGTCTGTCTGCATGTATGTCCACAGGCCAGAAGAGGGCACCAGATCTCATTACAGATGGTTGTGAGCCACCATGTGGTTGCTGGGAATTGAACCCAGGACCTCTGGAAGAGCAGTCAGTGCTTTTAAGCTCTGAGCCATCTCTCCAGCCCATGACCTCCCTTTTAAAAGGAAAAAATATCAGAGCATCCAGTTACTGTTGAGATAATTTATTTAGCTCATTAATTGCTTGTCCTGGGCTGAATAATGACCGTCTAAAGATAGTAAGCGCTAATCCCTGGGTCACATCAATGTGACTTTATTTTGGAAAAGTGGCTCTGTAGACATGGTTAAGGGACATGACAAGATTAACCTGAAGTAAGAGAGTGGGCCTCCCCGATCTCCCGGGTGTTCCTGTGCAATAGCGGCAGCAGGAGGCTTGGACAACAGAGGAGGCCGTGTGAAGGAGGCAGAGACAAGCGCGAGCGGGCCACAAGCCAAAGACACCAACTGGGAAAGAAAAGGAGGCTCACAGGGGACAGAAAGCCTTGCCGGCGCTGTGATTTCAGACCTCTGGTACCCAGACCAGTTAATCTCACAACTTCAAGCAATCAAGCTTGTGGAAATTTGTTATAGCAGCCACAAGGCGCTAATAACTTCCCTGGGGGATAGAGGTAGCCCTCAGCTGATACAAGCTTCCAGGAGCGCATTCCCAGGCTCCAAGGCCACCGTCCTTGCCAGCCACACAAGGCCACCTTCTACCAGCACCCATCTCACTCCCGCCCTTCCCTGTCACCCCAGTGACAGCTCATACGACTCCCCACAGGCATGGCCGGGCATTAGTCTCCATGCTGACTCTGGATTCTGTCAAGTCCTGACAAACCAGGTAGCCAGATTCCCTGGGGAGAAAATACACAGCATACCCTTAACATACCATCCCTCCTGGCTCAGTCACGCAGCGTGAGGTAGGAAATGGACTGTTGCACTCGTGGTCAGGCGTCGAACCACATATTGCCAGCTCAGGAAGTGATCCAAATGTAACACAGTGAAGAACACTTTTTTAGTGAATAGGGACCACCTCTGTGCTATTGTAGGTCAAGTAATCCTAAATTGAGCCACCTTAAGCCAAAGCACGCCTACATTCCCCGACCACCTCAACCTTCTCTCAACTCCTGGGAAGGGAAGGGGGAAAAGGTAATGGCATGACTCAGTGGGGAGCACCTCCCATGACTCAGCAGGGAGCACCTCAGATGACTCAGCATGGAGCACCTCCCATGACTCAGCAGGGAGCACCTCCCATGACTCACAGCAGGGAACACCTCAGCCCTGGCCTTGAGCTATCTCACAGAGGTCTGTGGTAAATAATAGTGTGGAAACCTGTCCCAAGGATGATTTGTATCCCAAGCCCTGGAACCTGTAAATGCTGTCTAACTAAGCAAGAGGTCTTTGTCTTCAGATAGGGAAACTGCCCTGCATCAATGGAGTGAGATCCAGAGACCTTCACAGACGGCCTTAGAAGATAGAAAAAGATCAGACAGGCACACAGAGTGAGAAGACTACACAAAGGGGACAACAATTGTACAGCCACCAGAAAGCAGGACAAAGTCAAGAGCTCCCCGAGGGTCCAGGAGGAAATGTGACCCTGTTGTCACGTTGGTTTGGAATCGATAAAGCTGATTTGGATATCAGATACTGAAGAACAATCTCTTTTGTTTCAAGCCACTAGGTCGGTGGCAATTTGTCACAGAAGCCCAGGAAACTATCATCGCATGTCACCATCCTATGATGTCTTATTTCCCAAGTTCTACCAGTCCAGTGGCCGTGTGGGAACATCTCAAGGGTTAAAGCTCCCTCATGGACAGAAGGGTGCCTATTGAGCTCGCTCCATCTTCAAAACAACTCTTATTTCACCCGGCACCGACAGGCTCCACACTGATAATCCTTAAAGTGGAATGTCATTCTGACTGCATAAAACCATTTAATCAACTGTGTGTACAGCAGCTGAAATGGGAACCACAGTGGATGGGAATTAAGGGGAAGGTAATCAACGATCCACACAGGGAGGCCCGGATTTAATAAGATGGCAATCAGTTCTGCAGGAAAATATCTAACACCCATTCCATCAAGTAAGGCCAATGTGGGCATACGTCTCTGCCAGAAAGAGAAAACTGTGTTAGGCAGGAGAGTTTTAGAAGGAAACAATGTCACCAAAGAACTGTAAAATAAGCAGATTCAGCATGGTAGAGAAGGCACCGGTGGCTAAGACCATAGCTACAAAACCAGGGAAGGTCAAGGCCGTGGCAGTGCTGTGCAGGAACTCCCACTCAGGGTGAATGTATGGACTTTAGTTTTCCCACGTTGGGAAGTGTGGAGAAGGCAAGGGGCAATCTAGGCCTACATGTCTCCCTGAGAAGTTGCAATGTCTGAGAATTTTACAAAGGAATCCACTTTCAGGTCTACAGAGGTGTCTCTGTGATTAAGAGCACTGTCTACTCTTCCAGAGGACCCACGTTTAATTCCCAGCACCCACATGGTGGCTCACAACCACCTGTAACTCCAGTCCCAGGGGATCTGATGGCTTCTTCTGGCCTCTGCAGGAACCACGTACACATGTGGTGCATAGAGTACACACACACACACACACACACACACACACACACACACACACACATACACACACACACAAAACATCAAAACACATAAAATAAAATTTTAAAAGTGAAAAAAAGAAACCTATTTTCAAAGATTGCCTGTATTTCCAGCACACTAAATGGCAGAGCTGTGGACAGGTCTGATGGACAGCAGCATACTCATCCACTTACAAGAAACAGTGTGCCTCACAAGACCATCACCCTCCGACTTCTCCCTCTCTCTCTGATATATATATATATATATACATACATACATACATACATACATACATACATACATACATATATATATATATATCAGACAATGGCAGTGTCACTCTCCGGCACAAGACAGGAAGACAGGAGAAGGAAGGGACTCTCATGGGTCCACATCCAGGAAGCCCAATGCCTTTGTCATATATGGGGAGAAGGGTGCGGTATTATATGAGTAATAAGATGGCAGAGAGTATCACATGCGGACACAGTAATGGTCCACAATTCCATAAGTCCATTGGTCCCTAAGCACACAGAGCACCTCGCCAGTACTCCTTAAATCGATGCCATTAACACCATCACTTTACTTATGGTAGATCAGCCAGCAGGGCTGATGGAAAAAC